CTAAAAATAAACCAAGGATAAATAGATTGGAAAGGGGGCATCGCCGTCATTTTCTGCAATTAAAGCGTCTGTTTTCACTCTCCGCAGAGCTGGAGCAGACTGGGACTTTTTTTTTCAGTCATTTTCTCCTGTCACTTACTAGTAGACAGCTTTAATGGGAAGGGGATTTTTTAAAATAAATTTTTCCTGCCTTTTTAATTCATCAGCTTTGGCTTGTAAAAGTTGGTAAGGAATTTCCTGTGATGGTCACAAAATATACGTATAGGGCAGGGTGATATACATTATAGAAGAGTGAACTTTCTGCCCAACCTTCGAGAGTATTTTAGTAGGACTAATATACAGAGATATAAAGGAATGTAACACATGGAGTCACAGGCATGGTAGTGGTATATATATATATAAAGAGGGAGAGAGCGAAAGAGAGAGAAATAATCACAAGAACATAACACACTGGGTTGATTTACTAAAACTGGAGAGTGCAAGATCTGGTGCAGCTCTGCACAGAAACAAATCAGCTTCCAGGTTTTATTGTCAAAGCTTAGTTGAACAAGCTGAAGGTAGAAGCTGATTGGCTCCCATGCACAGCTCCACCAGATTTTGCACACTTCAGTTTTTCAGTAAATCAACCCCAATGTATATAATAAACAATTGCCATGTTGTTCATATTGTTTTCACCTTTGTTTTAAATCTTTGTTACATCTAAGTGCTGCTGATTTCTTGCGACTTCTCTGTCTTCACATCCTGTCCACATGTCCGCAAGGCATTGCTCAGAGCATGTTTCCTGACAGTGACAACCGTGGACCATGTCTGTATAATGCACATTTAGGGCCAGTTCATGCCACAAATGCGCACTCCATTTCGGATGCATTTCTGCATGCGCATTTTTTACACATTTTTGGTATGTTTTAACCAGGGGCGGACTGACAACTCATGGGGCCCCCAGGCAATAAGGGATCATGGGGCCCCTGTGTCCTTGCCCAAACTTAAAAAAGCCTATAAAAAAGGTACCAGGGGCATCTCATGGGGCCCCCTACTGACTCCGGGCCCTCGGGCAGTGCCGAGTTTCCAAATGGTCAGTCCGCCCCTGGTTTTAACACGTTCCAGTACAGTTCTGTGCACGAAAAATGCAGCCTGTTCTAATTTTTTTTTCAGGAACTTAAACACACTGGAAATACAAGCACTGATGTGAACTATGTTTTTGAACACCATGTAACCTACTTTTTATGTGTTTTGGATGCAGAAAAAAAGCACTGGTGTGAACTAGTCTTGGGCCGGTTCACACCATATGCAGTCCAGTGCTTTTGTTTCTGCATTGAAAATGCTTGGCTAGTAGGTTATGGTTTCCAGTGGCATGATACACATCAGTGCAGTCATTTGCAGTGTTTTCCAATTCCAGAAAAAAAAAGTAGAACATTTTTTTCTGCATTGAACTGTACTGGAACACAGTAAAATGCATAAAAAAATGCACTGGAACCGGCATTTATTGTTCGATTGATGGACTATCATAGATTTATTGGCATTGTATCTTTGTTGGATGTGTGGTTGTTCTGGATGTCTTACTGCTTACCTCATTCATGTACTCAAACTTTCTTTTTCTATGATTCTGTGTTATAATACAGTTTTTTACTTATGTGCCTTTTTCTTGATATATATACATACATATATATATACATAGTTGTGCGCTGGAGCGATTGTGGCGTAAAACCAAATCTCAACAAGCATTCACCCTATATAAATCTGCTCTCTTAACATACAAGACCTCCCTTCATGCTGCCAAACAAGCCTACTTTGTCATCACTCTCATCAATAGCTTGTCATCCAGTCCTCGTCGTCTCTTCTCTACTTTTAACTCTCTACTTTCTCCACCTCCACCCCCACCCAGTATCTCACTCACTGCTCACGAGATTGCAAATCATTTAAAAAACAAGATTGATGCAATTTGTAGGGGCATCGCCACTGCACAGACATCCATCCCACTTAGCATACCTTATACTAAACCTCCCTCAGCACTTTCCTCTTTTGACCTTGCTACTACCGAAGAGGTCACTAAGGTTTTCTCAGAAGCCCGTCTCACTACCTGCCCCCTGGATCCTGTCCCCTCATAACTACTACGGTTACCCTCTTCTTCCATCCTGTGCTCCCTCACTCACATCTTCAATCTTTCCCTCTCTATTGGTGCCTTCCCCTCTAAAGCATGCGCACATCAGTCCCATACTTAAAAAGTCCTCCCTGGACCCCACCAACCTAAACAACTTAAGACCCATCTCCCTGCTGCCATTTACCTCTAAACTCCTAGAATGCTTAGTCTACAATCGCCTGAGCTCCCACCTAATCGACAACAACCTTCTTGACCCTTTACAGTCTGGTTTTCGCTCACTCCACTCCACTGAAGCTGCCCTACTAAAACTCACTAATGATCTACTAACTGCTAAAACCAATGGCCACTACTCCTTACTCTTACTACTTGACCTCTCTGCGGCTTTTGATACGGTTGACCATCCCCCCATCCTCCTCAAAAAACTCCACTCTCTTGACCTCTGAGACTCTGCTCTCTCCTGGTTCTCCTCCTACCTATCGCAGTGCTCCTTCAGCGTTACCTATAATGCTGCCTCCTCCTCTTCACTCCCTCTTTCTGTCGGGGTCCCTCAAGGTTTTGTCCTTGAACCCCTTCTCTTCTCCATCTACACCTCCTCCCTTAGTCACTTGATAAACTCCCATGCCTTAAGTACCCCTCACCTCACCCCTTCAGTCTCCTCTCGCATTACTAACCTACTAAGTGACATATCGGCATGGATGTCACTCCACTTCCTCAAACTCAATCTTTCCAAAACTGAGCTCTTAGTATTCCCCCCAGCCCGTGCCCCCTCCCCTGACTTCTCCATCAAGATCAATAACACAATCATCAGTCCCTCCCCTCATGCCAGGGTACTAGGTGTAATCCTAGACTCCCATCTGTCCTTTCAGCCCCAAATCCAATCACTGTACAAATCTTGTAGACTTCACCTCCACAACATCTCCAAGTTACTCCCGTTCCTAACCTCGGAAACCAATAAACTTATCCAGTCCCTTGTTATATCTCACCTTGACTATTGTAACTCGCTCCTCATTGGCCTACCTCATCGCAGGCTATCCCCTCTTCAGCCTATCATGAATGCTGCTGCCAGACTCATCCACCTTACTAACCATTCTGTATCTGCCACCCCTCTCTGCCAATCCCCCCACTGGCTTCCCATTGCCCAACGGATAAAATTCAAAACATTAACAATAACGTATAAAGCCATTTATAACTCTGCCCCAAATTACATCACCGATCTTGTCTCTAAATATCACCCAAACCGTCCTCTCCACTCCTTGCAAGACCTCCTACTCTCTAGCTCCCTTGTCTCCTCCTCCCATGCTTGTCTCCAGGACTTCTCCAGAGCTTCCCCCATCCTCTGGAACTCTCTACCCCAATTTATCAGACTATCACCTACTCTGCCCACTTTTAGGCGATCTCCAAAAACCTATCTCATCAAGGAAGCCTATCCTGCCCTCAGCTAATACTGGAATCTTCTACTCTTCCAACCAGTCCATCCCCCACAGTTATTACCTTTTGTACCACTAGCCCCCCTCCCTCCTAGATTGTAAGCTCGAAGGAGCAGGGCCCTCAAATCCCTCTTGTATTGAACTGTATTGTTGCTGTACTGTCTCCCGTTATATTGTAAAGCGCTGAGCAAACTGTTGGCGCTGTATAAATCCTGTATAATAATAATAATATATGTTATACCTCATGAAGTGGTGCTGTTTTTGTTGTCTATCTCTCAGTAAAAACGTTTGTGAACAAAAAAAAAAATGCACCGTAACACACATGACCTTACTAAGATAAAGAAAAAAGGGTAAAAATGCACCAGACTTCATCAAAACCACATAAAAATTGCACATGCAGAAACGCATCTGGACTGTGTTTCTATGGTGTGAACCTGCCTTAAAACAGCCAACTGGTGTCTCCATCAGAAGCCAATGCGACAGGCTGCCAACAAAGGAGCACAATTAGAGAAACTTGGACAGAGTGTTGTCACCCTATAATTGAAGGTGCCTGAGCAAAGGCCTTCATGGCAGGATCTCCAGGGAATATTTTAATCGAAATGATATTGACATGTTACAGCTTACATTAGACTTTGGTGGCTGGGTTAACTTTAACTTTTCAAATACGGTTGCTTTACCACAAGAACAAAGAATGTTCCTTTAGTAAAAATGTGACGCTTCTTTTTGAGCAAAAATTATTTTAAAAAGCAGATTGCATTTTTTTCGTGGTTGGATAAATGAAGTGAACACAGCTTCGCCTTACTCAATAAACATTCTCTACTCTCTTAGTAAATCAACCTCAATCCTCAAAGACAGAGTGGAAGTCCCTCTAGATGTTTATGGCTGTTGTGTAATAATCCAGCAGGTAGTCAATGCCTTCAATTAGAGGGGAGTGGGAAAGTGTGCCTTCAATAGACTCAGCTACAGCTCCTGACGCCTGCTTGTCTGTAATGATTGTACCCAATTCCTTTACCTGTTCTCAGAGTGGACAGCCAGCAACTGAGCCCAGCGTCTACCTGTATATCCCATTATGACTTAATAACAGTGAGACCTGATCTACAATTCATTACACGCTTCCCATTCTGTATCTGAGGACACTCTGTGTGACCTGCCAGGGTTAGCTGCTCAATAGGGACTGCATGGAGTCTGATCTTTTAAAACCCAAGAACAACAACGTAATCTATTGCAGTTTACCAGTCCTTAGATGTGGGTGGCTGTATTAGTTTCCTTTTAAGGGTTAACTCCCTTTTACACACAGTGGCTTAGTGGACCTTCACTTCTGATTTGCAGCACTTGCGCCTTTGGTTTGGATCCCAACCAGAACACTATCTGCATGGAGTTTGCTAGCTGGCCCTCTGTTTGTGTGGGTTTGCTCCCCCACTCCAAAGACATGCTAGTAGCTAAACTTTGCACACATGTTTTTACATTGTGCATACCCATCCAGGGGCGGACTGACAACTCATGGGGCCCCGGGCAATAGGGGATCATGGGGCCCCTGTGTCCTTGCCCAAACTCAAAAAAGCCTATGAAAAAGGTACCAGGGGCATCTCATGGGGCCCCCTACTGACCCCGGGCCCTCAGGCAGTGCCCGAGTTTTCCAAATGGTTAGTCCGCCCCTGTACCCATCCCAAGCAATTGGGTTGAGGAAAGATAGCGACCTCTTTGTAAAAAATGATCACCAAGAAAATTTTATGGAATAGGCTTTCGTGCATGTCAGATATGGTGCCCAAAGAGATGGCCCCTAGAATTGCAGAGTCCCATACAACTAAACATATATATATATATATATATATATATATATATATATATATATATATACACTATATTGCCAAAAGTATTGGCCTGCCTGCCTTTACACGCACATGAACTGTAATGGTATCCCAGTCTTAGTCCGTAGGGTTCAATATTGAGTTGCCTCCCCCCTTTTGCAGCTATAACAGCTTCAACTCTTCTGGGAAGGATGTCCACAAGGTTTAGGAGGGTGTCTATGGGAAGGTTTGACCATTCTTCCAGAAGCACATTTGTGAGGTCAGGCAATGATATCAGACGAGAAGCCCTGGCTTGCAGTCTCCACTCCAATTAGTCCTGAAGGTGTTCTATCGGGTTGAGGTCAGGACTCTGTGCAGGCCAGTCAAGTTACTTCACCCTAAACTGGCTCCTCCATGTCTTTATGGACTTTGCTTTGTGCACTGGTTCGCAGTCATGTTGGAACAGGAAGGGGCCATCCCCAAACTGTTCCTACAAAGTTGGGAGCATGAAATTGTCCAAAATGTCTTGGTATGCTGACGCCTTAAGAGTTCCATTCACTGGAACTAAGGGGCCAAGCCTAACCCCTGAAAAACAACCCCACACCATAATCCTTCCTCCACCAAACTTTCACTTGGCACAGTGCAGTCAGGCAAGTACCGTTCTCCTGGCAACCGCCAAACCCAGACACATCCATCGGATTGCCAGACAGAGAAGTGTGATTGGTCACTTCAGAGAACATTTCTCCACTGCTCTAGAGTCCAGTGGTGGCGTGCTTTACACCACTGCATCCAATGCTTTGCATTCCACTTGGTGATGTAAGGCTGTGCTCTTCAGCATGCGCTGACCCCGCTCTGTCATTATACGTGACCTACCACTTGGTGGCTGAGTTGCTGTTGTTCCCAGTTGCTTCCACTTTGTTATATTTCCCACTAACAGTTGAGCGTGGAATATTTAGTAGCCAGGAAATGTCACGGATGGACTTATTGCACAGGTGACAACCTATCATGGGACCACGCTTGGATTCGCTGAGCTCCTGAGAGCGACCCATTCTTTCACAAATGTTTGTAGAAGCAGTCTGCATGCCTATGTGATGATTTTACACACCTGTGGCCATGGAGGTGATTGGAACACCTTAATCCAATGATTTGGAGGGGGAGTTCATTACTTTTGTCAATATAGTGTGTATACATATATGTGTGTGTGTGTTGCAGTTTTCTGGGCCTTGTTTTCATTTTCTTCAGGCTTTTTTCCCCTTTATTTTCACCTGGTGTTCATGAAGCAACACACTTTATGTCCAAGGGTGACAAACAACACTCACTCACTATACTTTATCTATCAGAAAGCAGTGTTGTCACCCCAGTACACTTTCAGATTTTCCAATAACTTATTTTAAATCATATCTAAACCCAAGAATAAAAGCATAATATATTGCAGCTTACCAACCCTTAGATTATTATTATTATTATACAGGATTTCTATAGCGCCAACAGTTTGCTCAGCGCTTTACAATATAACTGGAGACAATACAGCAAGAATACAGTTCAATACAAGAGGGAAAGGAGGGCCCTGCTCCTTGGAGCTTACAATCTAGGAGGGAGAGGCTAGTGGTACAAAAGGTAGTAACTGTGGGGGATGGACTGGTTGGAAGAGTAGAAGATTCCATTATTAGCCGAGGGCAGGATAGGCTTCCCTGAAGAGATAGGTTTTCAGAGATCGCCTAAAAGTAAGCAGAGTAGGCAATAGTCTGATAAATTGGGGTAGAGAGTTCCAGAGGATGGGGGAAGCTCTGGAAAAGTCCTGGAGACGATCATGGGAGGAGGAGACAAGGGAGCTAGAGAGTAGGAGGTCTTGCAAGAAGCGGAGAGTACGGTTTGGGTGATATTTAGAGACAAGATCGGTGATGTAATTTGGGGCAGAGTTACAAATGGCTTTATACCTTATTGTTATTGTTAATGGTTTGAATTTTATCCGTTGGGCAATGGGAAGCCAGTGGAGGGATTGGCAGAGAGGGGTGGCAGATACAGAACGGTTAGTAAGGTGGATAAGTCTTGCAGCAGCATTCATGATAGACTGTAGAGGGGATAGCCTGCGATGGGGTGATTGCATTTGTTTGAATTTTTCAGGGTGTTTTTTCTCCCCATTATTTTCACCTAGTGATCCTGCCAGTAACACACTTCCTGTTCAAGGGTGACAATGCTTACTCACTGTATCTATGGAGGAAATGCGTTGTCTCCCAAGGGAGAGGATCATGATAACCTCCCCTTCTCCTTTTCTCTATAATATAACAGGGAATGGATGCTGTACTGATCATAGCTGGGAATAATTTAACGGATAACAGTGCAGCACAGCAGAGATCTCAGGAAGTTATGGGCTCACTGGATTTCTGGCAGGATCAACTGGTATTTCTGTGAACTTACTGATCAGATATAACAAAAACACCTTCAATAGTGATCTAAGTGGACCTATTAGGAGAACTTTATTGTTAGGTTTTATATACGCTTTAAAGTAAACAGCGTTCCACTGAATGTAATTATTAAGAAAACAAATAATAATAATAATTGGCCATAAATTACAAGAACCTTTGAAGTCATGTTATTGTTATTTTTTATTATTATTATTATTATTATTATTATTAATAATAAATAATAATAATCAGTTGTACCAAATAAATATTTACTTCTAGCACATATTTTATCTCCTGATGAACTTTGTGCATAGAGATATGCAACATCCAAACAGTAGTACATCTGTACAGGTTTCACTGAGTAAAAAACAGAAAATGAAAACTAGAGGGGAAAAAAAAAGTAATTAAATGGGTAAACATCATTTACTTAGGATATTGCAAAAAGGCAAACCATGTGCATTGTACATCCTGTCTGTCATTGCACAAGCAGGAAACATTAAGGCCTCCTCCGGGGTCAATATGGAAGGGGAGGAAAGATTAGTTGTGTATAAATGTGGTGTAGACTCACAAATTAAATGGCATCATTTGTCTTGGATGGTGGAAGGGGTGCTGGGGGCATCGGAGGAGGATGGTGGGCTAAAAATAGGCCTCTTTTCCTGTCGCTGTGTGTTCCAAGACTTCCCAAAATAATTCCCTTTTTTTTTTTTGCAAGGATAACTTGTGAGTTGAGATGTTTTGTGACAATTGATGCAGCCAGTGTAACCTGGCTGTCCAACTGTGGTGGAACTAGAAGTCCCAGCAAGCATTGTCAGATGGAGGATGAAACTTCTGCTTCTACAAACAGCTGAATGAGCAAGTCATTGAAGGGCCTCAATATATAGGTCTATAGCATGCTCATCATAACAAATCATACTACTCCTCCTGAGGATGTATTACATTGTATCTCATTTTGCTATATGTAAGAAACATTAACAAAAAGATTTCAGATTTTCTTTCACAAAAACCATAACAGTCCTTCCAAGATGTTTTCTAGAGATGGCCCAGGGAAGGGGCTACCAATGTATGCAGTAGACTTTATTGTCATGGGATGCAGATATTTCTCTGATGCCCAGGAATTGTGACAATGTTGTATGTCAGGGAAAATATGTTACATTTTCCTTAGAATTTAAATTTTGAAATGAGGAGAGAGAATAAGATAGGGGGGAGAGGGGGGAGAGAGAGAGAAAGAAAGAAAGAAAGAAAGAAAGAAAGAAAAAGAAAGAAAGAAAGAAAGAAAGAAAGAAAGAAAGAAAGAAAGAAAGAAAGAAAGAAAGAAAGAAAGAAAGAAAGAAAGAAAAGAAAAGAAAGAAAGGAAGAAGAATATATAAATTATATGAATAAATGAATAAAGATATAGAAGAGGGGATGATCAGCGAGAGAGCAAAAAGAGAGACAGAAAAAGAGAGAGAGAAGAAGAGGAAGAAGAGAGAGAGAGTGTGTGTGTGTGAGAGAGAGAAAGAGAGAAATGAGGATCGTGTCATTTTTCCATCACTGATGACAATGTGGGGGTTATTTACTAAAACTGGATGGTGCAAAATCTGGTGCAGCTCTGCACAGAAGCCAATCAGCTAATTTTGCTATATGTAAGAAACATTAACAAAAAGATTTCAGCTTTTTCTTTCACAAAAACCATACCAGTCCTTCCAAGATGTTTTCAAGAGATGGCCCAGGGAAGGGGGCTACCAATGTATGCAGTAGACTTTATTGTCATGGGATGCAGATATTTCTCTGATGCCCAGAAATTGTGACAATGTTGTATGTCAGGGAAAATATCTTACATTTTCCTTAGCACTGAAATTTTGAAATGAGAAGGAGAGAGAATAAGATGGGGGGGGGGGGGGAGAAAGAGAGAAACTAGCGAATCTTCACTCCAAAAAAAATTGATTTTTATTTTTGGAGGGAGTATTGTATGACAGGGTAAATCTGAAATTTTCCTTTCCAATATTTAAAATAAAGTGAATGAGAGGGGGGAGGGAAAAGAGAGAGGGAAGAGAAAATAGGGGGGGGGGGGGGTAGACTGAGGGAGAGAGTAGAGAAAAAAGAGAGAAAGGAGACAAAAGAGAACATAAAGAGGAGAGAAAGAGAAAGGGGGTAGAGAGTAGAGAGGAGTGAAACAGACAGAAAAAAGAGAGGAGAGAGAAAGAAGGAGGGAGGGAGATAGAGAAGAGGAAAGAGAGAGAGAGGAGAAGAGAGAAAATGGGGGAAGAGAGAAAAGTGGAGAAGAGAGAATTAGGGAGAAGAGAGAAAAAGGGGGGAGACAGAAGAAAGAAAAGGGGAGAAAAAGCATATAGAAGGGGGAAGAGAGAGGAGGGGGCAGAGACTGAGGGAAAAGGATGGGGAGAGAGGAGAGGAGAGAGAAAGGAAAAAAACAAGATGAAAAAGACAGAAAAACAGGAAAGGAGAGGGAGAGAGAAAAATAGGGGAGAGAGAGAAGAGAAATAGAGAGAGGAGAGGAGAGCAGAGGAGAGGAGAGAAGAGAGAAGAGGAGAAGATAGAAAGAGAGGGGAGAGAGAGAGAAGAACAGAGAGAAGGGGGAAGGAGTCAGAAAGCAGGAAAGAGAGAAACAGATTGGCTAATTTACCTAAAATGTTCAGAATCTTCACTAGAAAAAAATGTGTGTGATTACTTTTATTCACACAAATTCTGAGTAAGCGTTCTCCACTCCTTTAGTAACTCAACCTCAGGGTGCAGAGCAAATATAGCACAGAAAACTAGACAGATAAAGAAAAGAAAAGATTATTCAAGGAGTTGAGAATCTTAACTTTATACAGTAAATTGTAGTTATGTTCACATGAAATGGCCAATCATGTGCATATAAAGCAAACAGGAATTTGCTTTTCACTAGTGAATCTTCATTCATTTAGTAGATTAGCCTCATGGTGTTTGTAACAATAATAAATATCACAAGAAATGGAATACAAATGCCCCAAACGTTTGAAAGTATCTGCTACAATATTAATGCTCTATGCTTTATTAATGCTCAGCAATTATGACTTGTAAGAAAATCCTCTCCATGTTTGGCCTATAAGGGGCAGAACAAAAAAACCTTCCGCTTTGCATTTTTTGATTGGAGCTTTCTGTCAAAAAATGCCAAACACTCCTAAACTCGCCTAAACTGTGTACAAAAACGCTAACAGCGTTTTTCTTTCTGTTAAAGGGAACCGGCGTTTTTTAAGCCCAGTGTGCTTGGAGCCTGACACACCATGCAATAATGAAGTGTTCTGTAGGGTGAATGTGTGTCTTAGAACATTACACCGCATCGGTTAGACAACAAATCGATAATTGTAGGGCAATTTTCACGCATTCTAGGTTTGTATGCCATTGCCTCCCTAGCTAAATCCGTCCTTCATACATATATTATACCCCCATACTGAACCTTCTATTATCCAGAATTGACCCAGCAGAGCATGCAATGAGCATCACTGTGATCACCGTCCACAATGAGCAGGGCAGTGATCACCGTCCACTGACGCCTCCCTGACACAGGCTTAGCGACAATTTCTAGCATTTCAGTCGCGCTCCGACATTCCCTGGTGGGTTCCTTGCAGTGATTTTAGGTGTAACCGACCCACATTCCGCACACCTGCCCCCCACCCTCTGTGTAGGTGAACGCCTTGGTATCTCTTTTTGAATGATAAAAGACTGAGAACCCAGCGGGGGAAAAACAGCCTACAACACCTGAACAATGGGCCCTTTCCAGAGCACAGCAGGGGGGAGCGGTCATTAGAGCTGGGGGGCCCCTAGCTCCAGGCTT